TGTGTGTGTGTCACACCCTGGTTCTAAGGGTTTCCACCTGTTTACCTTTCCACCACCACCGAGACTTTCCATCAACGGCAGGGGCGTCAGGCTCGATACACCTACCTGACGCAACGAAGCTCTGGTGTATCGAGGGATGGGTGGACTGATCATCCACCTGTACCTGCTTCAACGGTTGAGCAAGCTGTTCCAATCCTCCTCCTTTTTTGATTCCATGGTGGTTCATGATACTTCCCACAAACCCTTCCACTTTCTCACGCAGCTGCATCGTACAGAGGCTCGCCACCGCACACCTGTCAAAACTTTGTTCAACCATACGGTTTTTGTGGACTTATGCGCCTTTCCGTTCCCTCACCTTCCTTCCCATCGTGACAACTGAGTATAACTGAAAACCCAAATTCGAAGTGTGTCCACACCTGTGCCTGAGGTTTTGCGTCGTGTGCTTCCTTTTAATAATTCACTTTGGCAGGGGGCAGTGACAGAGGTTCTTTCTCTCAAGCTTGTGAGGTGGAATCCCAGGCTCGTTTAGTCAACGCACTCCCCTTCCCCCCCCACCCGCGAAGCAAAAAATAGCGCGCCGACTACGGCTTCGTGTGTGTGTCCACACCTGTGCCTAAGGTTTTGCGTCTTGTGTTTCCTTTTAATAATTCACTTTGGCAGGGGGCAGTGACAGAGCTTGTGGAATCACTGCCAACGAAGACGTCCACATTCTTTGGTGATGCATCGGGAGACGTCCTGATGTGTACCTGCTTTCAAGTGTTTAAACTGACAACACTCCAATGTCCTGCTGTTCCTTGCTGGGTTTCATGGTTTTTGCACGATATACTTCCAAACCATCCTCAGCAGACTGCAGCGCATCGCTTGTCGTCCGGTTGAAACCCAATGTTCACACCTTTCCAAGTGCATGGACTCAGTCGCCTGGCCGTTGAAGCATTTTTCCGTTGAATCCAGTCAAGGTCTAATTCTCAGTATCGTAAAGGGCTACTGCATCCGCGATTCAGCCACTGATTTTGCTCTTGCGAGCATCCATCTAAGTGTGTGTGTGTGTCTGTTTGTATATCTGTATATATGATCCGTTAAACGTGCAATTCTTGGCTAGGTTGGCTTGGCTTTGCTCTCGGACTGTTTGCAACTGATGGCGTGCTAGATTTCCAAAAGGCCTTCACCCAGCAAAAATCCGTTTTGGGAACCGTTATGTGGCCTTAATGTTGATAAAAAGGTCGCCCACATAATGGTCCCATTTTGCAATCCCCACTTTCTCGTGTCCACCCTCACGAAAAGAAGAACAATGCGCATTTTTGCCTTATGCCTTATGCCCTCCCTGCTTCCTTTTTGCCCTCCTTTCTCCCCTTGCCACGCTAGCTTTCGTCACCTTTCTCCCTGCCTCAAGTTTGCACATAGCACGTACTTTTCGCGCATCGTGATTGCTGCCGTGGTCATTTGCTCATAAGATCTCACAAGCGCGCCCTGTTGGAGGGCTACACCATGCTACACTCATTCCATTTCATTTCCATATACATATATACTACATATACTGTAACTATACGTAGTTGGTTGGACCGCCGGACCGCCTCGGTCGTCAAAAAGACTTGATTGATGCGTTAGAAATATGGCTCACTCACTTGGGCTGAAGATTGTCGACCGATCTCTACGCAAACTCAGTCTCGTGCATGGAAAAGTGTAGCTCGGCCCAAATCGGGACCATGGTGGTTCCGGATCCGCATCAAGGTCCATGAGGCCAGTGTGGCAAGATTCCATGGCCAGATGGTGGATGTCCAATGTTTGTCGGAATTGGAACTCACAAGTTGCTCGAGTGCAGAGGCCATGCCAGTGCAGCTGTTGCAGAGCACTTTTGAGGATCCCTGCCGAGCCTTTGATTTCTCCGACTTGGGTGATGCTTCTTGGTTGCATCGGGTTCATCATTGATCGTCGAAGTCATTTTGATGTTTTCAGTCTCATTTGTCCCCAAAAATGTTCAAAGACATTGAAGATTGTTTGTGTTCTGTGGCGCTGGCAGTGATTGGCAGGCAGAGCTGCAGAAGGGTGACGCAGCAGGCGTGAGACAGTATGTTCCTATCAAAATCTCATTCCAACACCCCATGGTTTCTATCAAAACCTAATCCCATCAGCCCTCCTTTTGAACCCTGACCTGATGAAGGCCCTGATGGCTCCTCTCAGACATGGTCACCTCTTGGAGTTTCTGCAGAAAATACAAGAATATATTTGTTCCTAGTAGTAAGGCCAGGAGCGACTAGTAGCGTCCTCGCTCCTAGTAGCGATGCCCTTTGTTCCTAGTAGCTTTCAAAAATATTATGTACTTTCGCCCCCGTATTTGCTGGTTCCGTAGTGTTGTGGTTCAAGCTGAAGTCGGTGCATGATTTGCACTCGTTGCGGCTTGTTCCTCAAGGACGGGCCTTTCTGCCTCCCGTGCAGAACTACCCAGAGGCTGCGAGAGGTCGTTGAAGGTGGCCTCATTCTACGGTCGCAAGAGGCAAGGCCCTGACCATACTCCGGGAGGCCGCTGGAAGGCTCCTTTACCCGGCAGAGATCGCCGGACCGATTCTGGCAGCTGAGAGATGCGCAGCCAATCCTCCAGGTGTACCCGGGGTTGACCAAGGGCGGAAAACGTCATGGTGCGGCCGAAAGTGTGGTACTAGGGTATGAGCCAGTAGTTAGACTTCTTCGAAGCTGGAAGACAGCAGCGACTCCTAGCACTCGTTTGACACCGTCGCCTATGAAGTGCCGCGCACTTTTCAATTTATGCCTCCAAGGTTTGAAAATTCAAGACGTTGGCTTTAGACCTTACTCTCTCAGGAGAGGAGGAGCCACGTTCTGGTTTCAAAAGCACCAGAACCTGGACCGAATCCTGGTCCAGGGTCGGTGGCATACGCAGAAGAGCGCACGAATCTACGTCAACGAAGGGTTGGCCGTTTTGAGCTAACTAAAAATCCCTGCTTCTGATGCACGCGTTCGCCCCTTTTTTGACTGTTTATCGTAGTTTCTTGCTGTCACCTAAGATCACAACACTTGAACCTCCTGCCAAAGGCGGAAGGACAGGGGACTTGGAAAACGATCCATGCGATCCATGAAAGGCAAGGGCAAATTGCGATTAACTTTCTTTTTCCGTGTGTCAACCACGGTCCGTGCTTGTATCCTCACCG